GAGAAGACTGTGAGAGCTAGCGATTCTCTCTTGAGAGCTATTAACTCTTGCAGATGGCAGTTCGCTCTCCTGTCTTTGCCCAACTGCCCCTTTTATACCCATGATGAAATACCAATATTTCTTACAGTAGAATTGGTCCTATGTTGTCAAAACTATCAGATTTAAATTTAATTTGTTTTTGGTATCTAAGTGCCTGGTTCAAATTAATTGGCTAAATTCAAAACTTGTTGTCTTGATAACAAAACAAAACTGCTGCTTGGCCTGCTGACTGTACAGCTTTTTGATACAATTTTTTAAAATTCAGGTTCTCTGTGCAACTGCAAACCCATAAGTTGCTGCCCACAGATATCCTTTTGGAATCTCTAAGCATAGAAAAAGCTCACCATCTTTTAAAGGGACCACACACTGCTTTCCCCTTAGCATTTTACGAACACCAATATTTTACGAGCATCAAATTCTAACGTCCTGTCTTCCAATCCACAAATACTCTACTAAATGTCACAAACCTCCCCTCTTAAGAAAAAAATGAACCATCATTATGAAAAGATGGCTTCACTTTTTTTCTTTTTACAACCTTAACTCCATTATATTACTATATCTATATATCATTAATCTAGAGTTACACATCTCATATCAATTCTTTATAATACAGCATTGAACACAATTGTTTCTATCTTATATAAACAGTTTTTCTTTTAAGCCCTTTATAAAGCTTCCGCAATAATATTTTCATGACCTGCAATATGTACAATCTGTAAATTAAATATTGTAACATAAGACTCCAACAAAATAATCTGGTGTTCTTGTTCTTAAATCTTTCTAGAAATGTCAAAAGGATTGTGATTGGTATACACAATTGTCTCTGATGCATTGTTTGCAACGTAAATATTAAAATGTTGTAAGGCCATTATCAAACTCAATAACTCTTTTTCAATAGTTAAATATTTATTTCTGGTGGACATTGAGTTTTTTTGAAAAACTTGATTGGCTTTTCAATTCCACAATCATCCTCCTGTAACAACACAGCTCCAACCCCTACATCGCTTGCGTCGATGGTGGCTTTAAAGATTTTCAAGAAATTTGGCGTGGCTAAAATTGGTGTCGTGGTTAACCCTGCTTTTAAATTCTCATCTGCCTCCTGGTATTGTTCTGTCCACTGAAATTTCATGTGTTTTTTAACAAATCCGCCAGCAGTGCCACCGCACTACTGAAGTTTGGTACAAATTACCTGTAGAGTACGCTCAATCCTAAAAATCTACTGGGGACCATCTCAACTCGCCACCAATGAAGTCCCTCAAGTGGCCAATGAATAACTATTTAAGGGTCTCAACTCTCCAAAGGCTTAATCATCTGCCTTTCTAACAGGCCAGAAGAGCAGTTGGTATCTCAGCTGGGAAACCAGGGCAACCTGTCTGCTAGGTTGAGAGGGGCATTCCTTTTACTCTATTCTGTAAACTATTGAGATCCAGAATGGGGATATTAGGGTGGTCGCTGAAAGCCAACCCCTGTCGTTGCTGCCAACTCTCTGACCTCCTCCTTATCATGACACCCAGAAGAAAAAGACTTACCTCCTTGGCATTAGATCCCCTGAAGGCTGCGATGATTTGAGGGATTGAAAAGGCAGTTTCTGGTACAATGGGGTTTCAACATTAAGGTCTGTATTTCACCGAGAAGCTTACTAATCAGTTCTTGACATTCTGACTGAGCGTGATCCAATGAGCTTTCTTGTTGACGGGGACAGAATTAGTCGCCACTGAAAAGCCTGCCTCCCCCCCCCCACATTTAAATCACAAAATGGATAGTCTTGATCTATCAAACTATCTTCAGAATAGAATTTGACCACTGTTACCAATGAGAAAGTAAGCTGCAAATGATATTTAAGATACCAGTGGAAGGAAATGATTAAGAGTAATTATAAAGCTTTGTGAGACAACAATGGCGATAAGGAGTGGCCATTTCCATAAATATGATTATAGCTGCTTTTGAGTTTATAACGAGTAAATGGTAGGGAGGCCATATAAAAAAAGAACAGTTGGCATGTTGTGGTAGGAGATATGTAGAAGGTTAATAATACCACATGGAAGCATTTAATCAAAATCTTATTATTTTGTTGAGAGGTATTACTAAAATATTCTTTCTAAAATGAAATGGAATAGGACTCATGTACTTCATCTGCACTGGCTCATTGATATTTTGTTTCAGCATTGTCCTGCTGTGTTGATTGACAGAAAACTGATTAGATTTCTTATGCAGCTAATTTCACATTTGCTTTACACAGAATTGGTAAGATATATCAAGGAATAAGCAAATACCTCAAGCAAAATTCTTTGGTATTTGTGAAATTCAGAAAATGGGCTGGGATGGCTAAAGTTGATTTGTTGCTTCTCCTATTAATAAAATGGAGAAGACAAAATTGCCTCAGTATGACATACTGTTATGTCCTCGAGAACAGTAAACCACAGGAGTGCAGCAACTGTAACAAAAGCAAAAATAAAATTACATCTGTAATGAACAATGAAGTACACTTTGACTTTTGAAAGGTCATATATAATAGAGCGTAATTTGATATAGAAGTGAATCTAAGACATGTTAGACCCTACCTTTTGAACATTTAGCTTTTAAGTTTTTTGCAAGGCAAGTTCTGAAAGTGCAACCTGGTAATGGTGAAATAAGAACCAGCATTTGGGACAAAGTGAGCAACTGTGTATCTTACTGCAAATCAGGTTGAAAGACTATGAAGCAAACAGGGCTAAGGGCTAAGAGGAAATGTAAATTAGTGAGAATTATTGAGGCACAGAATAAGAAACAAAATGAGGAAAAGAAAGATTATACGAAGCAAAGGAACAACATACACACAGTAAAAGTAAACAAACATTTTAAAATATTACAAATTTAATATACCTAACAATTAAAACATGAAAGAAATTAAACTTCACACCCACAATGATTCATTTTCAGTGCCTGAGATGTTGATAGGCAGCAATTAACAGTTGGTACATCATAGTAAATGGTACTTAGACATAAATGGATAAGATTTAAATTTCTATGATGAGCTTAGTTTGCACAAATTGAGCAACTTCACACCATAAGGATTAGCTCAAAGCCCAGCTCCCATGCTCTCTGACAAGTTATTTTAGTGCCTAAAACATTTGAGTGTGGAAAGGCATCAGTCTTCGTCTATTTTCTGAAGAAGGGTCCAGACCCGAAACGTCAGCTTTCCTGCTCCTCTGATGCTGCTTGGCCTGCTGTGTTCATCCAGCTCTACACCTTGTTATCTCAGCCTTCGTCTGTCACCTGGCTTATCTGAGGCACTAATTGATTACTCTACTGCAGAACCTTGAGTTTTCTTTATTATTAATTCATGGGATTGTGGATGTTTCTGGCTGGGCCAGCATTTATTGCCTATCCCTAGTTGCCCTTGTGAATACAGTGGTGAGCTGCCTTCTTGAACTACTGCAGTTCTTGTGCTGTAAGTTGGGCCACAATGCTGTTAGGGAGAGAATTCCAGGATTTTGACTCCGCAACAGTGAAAGAACAGTGATAAATTTCCAAGTCAGGATGGTGAGTGACTTGGAGGAGAACTTGCAGGTGGTGGTCTTCCCATGCATCTCCTGCCTTGTCCTTCTAGATGGAAATAGCTAGATGTTTAGAAGGCGCTTTCTAAGGAGCCTTGGTGAATTTCTGCAATATATCTTGTAAATAGTACACACTATCGCTTTTGAGCATTGGCAGTGGAGGGAATGGATGTTTGTGGATATGGTGCCAGTCAAGCAGGCTGCTTTGTCCTGATGATAACAAGCTTCTTAGGTATTGTTGGAGTTGTATTGATCCAGACCAGTGGTGAGTATTCCATCACATTCCTGATGTGCCTTATAGATGATGGACAGGCTTTGGGGAGTCAGGAAGTGAGTTATTCGCTACAGGATTCCTAGCCTCTTGTAGCCATTGTACCCTGTATTTATTTGGCTAATTCAGCTCTGATTCTGATCAATGGTAACCCCCAGGAAGTTGATAGTGCAAACTCACCCTCTAGGAAATGGCACCTGAGTTATCCTCTCCTGCTGCCCTTGCTTCTGTGCCTGGTTTCTCAGTAAATGGAGATCCTTGCTTTAACATTGTGCACTGTGTTAGTATCTGGCTGTTGCTATGAATTCAAATGATAGTTTGTTTAGTTTTCCCTGTATTTTTGCACAACCTGTAGCTGTGGCCTCAACAGTAGTCCTTCCAACAATGGTCAACACTGTCTCCACCATGGAGGTGAAAAACCCGCATAAGTGGCTCTTCTGCTCCAGTTAGTTACTATCGCCTCTAGTTATGTGCCACCCCAGTCTGCTAGGTGGAGGGAATTGTGTCAGTGAGTTTTGAGCAGCCTGACCAAGTAATGTGACTGTCACAATTTGAATACAAGCTGCGATTTGTAAATGTGAAGTTTGGTATGGTGCTAATCATAGCAGGGTGTGGGGAAGCATTTATCAGGTATGAGGAGACTTGTGGTACAATGGTAGTGTCGCTGCCTTGATGCCAGAATGTCCAGGTACGAATACTATTTTGACACAGGTCTTTCAAAATATTTTTGAACAGGTTGATTACAATATCAGGAAATCTCAGTTTCTGTGTTACCAAGTGATAATTTCTAAATTCAATATTCTTATAAGGGGTGCTCTGTCCATTTTTACTGTCGCACATTTCATTTTAAAAAAGGGATGTTTTGATGTATTGACAACTATTTAACTGAAATCTTCTTCATTTTTCTTGAAGTTATGCTTATTCACCTTTAGTCCAACTCTTTGTTTCTATGTGTGACCTATATTCAGGTCTATATTTGGTTAGTCTTCGTAGAGTGTTTGCATCTTGAACTATTGTTTGGATGCCATGATCAATTGGCTGTTAAGCCACTTGTAATGTACTATTTTAAGATTTAACCCAAAGCCATGAAAGCTAAGAAAATTCTGACATTAACACTTGGTTGAACTTACAATTGATCTGTTTTGATCCATCAGGGATTGATGGTCCTGCTGCCTTTCAGGATGAAGCTCAGGAGGTTGGAAGTCAAATTCAGATTCTCACTGTTGGACAGTCCAGCAATGACGGAGAGGTTGATACAGACACTGCAGCCAGTGTGCAACAAACAATAAAGCAGGATCTTCGAGTAACAATGCAGAAAAAGGGTAAGATAGTTTGTCACTTGTCAAAATTGAACTGAAGTCTACAGTGTCTTCTTTGGTGAACTGTGAATAATTATGCAATTTGAAGGAAAAAAATTTAGGTGGAATGGAAAATCAACTTGCTGATTTCTGCTACTCCAAAGCCGAATTATCACCCTCCTCTCCCCCAAACAATATGAGCATTACATTCTCCCAGGACAGACATAGCATGGGTAGATGCAAAATAAAGTTGCCTTACCCTGCCACTAAACCTCCATGACCTAATTCATTAGTGCATTTTAGCCATGTCTAATGTTGTGGGTCGTGTGGCTGTTTTGGTGAATGTGGGTATTGCTGGCAAGACTACCTTTTGTTTACCACCCCTAATTGTGCTTAAGAAGATGGCGGTGATCTGCATTCCAAGTCAGGACTGTTTGTAACTTGCAGGGAAACTTGCAAGTGGTGTTGCCCTCATGTATTTGCTATCATATTCTTCTTACTAGCAGAGATTGTAGGCTTAGAAGATGCTGTCATAGGAGCGTTGGTGAGTTTCTGCAGTACATCATGCAGGTCAGACGAACTGCTGCTGCCATTTAGTTAACAATGGTCATACTTGTTCACAATAGTTAAGGGTATGCTTGTTGGGAAGCAAATCAGGTGAGCTGCTTTGTTCTGGATACTGTTGAGTTTCTTGGGTGTTGGTAAAATTGTTGTCAAGTGTATTGATTTGTGCATGGTAACAGTAGAAAGGCCCCAGAGAATTAGCAGTTTAGTTACTGGTTGCAGAACTCCCAACCTCTGACCTACCCTTGTAATAACAGTATTTCTATGACTGGTTCAGTTAAATTTCTGATATGGCACCCAACTATCTTGGGAGACAATGGACTCAGCTGATGAACTGAGGTGATTGTCACTTATGGATTGAAGATGGCCCAGGTGTTCCGGTTTCCTCCCACATTCCAAAGATGTACAGGCTAGGTGGATTGGCCATGCTAAGTTGCTCATAGTGTTCAGGGATGTGTGGATTAGAGTTACAGGGAAAAGGGGTAGGGAAATGGGTCTGGGTGGGATACTGTTTGTAGGGCCAGTGTGGACTTGTTGAGCCGAAGGGCCTGTTTCCACACTGTAGGAATTCTATGATTCTATGAATATTACATTGGTGGTTGAGAAGCTATTGGAGAGAATTCTTAGGGTTAGGATTTACGTGCATTTGGAAAAGCATGGCCTAATTAGGGATTTCTGAAGAAGGGTCCCGATCCAAAACATCAACTTTCCTGCTCTTCTGATGCTGCCTGGCCTGCTGTGCTCCTCCACCTCCACACTGTGCTATATCTAATTAGGGATAGTCAGATGGCCCTGCGCAGGGCAGGTCATGTCTTATAACTTGATTGAATTTTTCAAGGAGGTGATGAAGAACGTCGATGAGGGTAGAGTAATGCGCGTTGTCTACATGGATTTTAGTAAGGCTTTGGACAAGGTCCCTAATGGCAGGCTCATTCAGAAGACTAAGATGCATGGGATCCGCAGTGACTTGGCCACGTATATTCGGAATTGAAGGCATAGAAGGCAGAGTGTAATGGTGGGAGGTTGTTTTTCAGGCTAGCGGTTTGTGACTAGGGGTGTTCTGCAGGGATCTGTACTGGGACGTCTGCTGTTTGTGACATATATATGTAAATGACTTGGATTAAAATGCGGGTAGGTGGTTTAGTAAGTTTGCAGACCATACAAAGATCGGTGGAGTTGTGGATAGCGTGCAAGTTTGTCAAAGGATACAACAGGATCTAGATCAATTGCAGATATGGGCGGAGAAATGGCAAATGAAGATTAGTTCAGATAAGTGTGAGGTGCTGCATTTTGGGAGATCAAATGTTAAGGAAAAGTATACAGTTAATGGCAGGACCCTGAACAGCATTAATGCACAGAAGGATCTTGGGGTTCACGTCCACAGCTCCCTAAAAGTGGCCATGCAAGTAGATAGGGTGGTAAAGAAGGCGTATGGCATGCTTGCCTTTATTGGTTTGGGAACTGAGTGCAATTGTCAGGATGTCATGTTGCAGCTTTATAAGACTTTGGTTAGTCCGCACTTGAGAGTATTGTGTTCAATTCTGGTTGTCATATTACAGGAAGGATGTGGAGGTTTTGGATTGCAGAAGAGATTTACCAGGATGCTGCCTGGATTAGAGAGTATGAACTATAAGGAGAGGCTAGAAAATGGAATTTCCATTTGCTCAAGAGGACAAACGTGCTGGGGATCCCTGCACAGTGGAGGACCACCATATTCTGCACTCTGCCTTGACTGGACATGACTGATGTTTGTCTGAGACAGTGGCCGTGGAAGCTGTTCAGCTGTTTTTCTTGGATAAATTGTCTCTGTTTCGCTACTGTAAACAAGTGAGCTGAGAACATAAGCCTAGTACTCACAGAGCTTTATGTTTTCAAGTAGTTTGTACACTTTGTGACTCAAGTTTGAGATTGGCCCTCCCTTGACTTCTCAACTTTTACATGCCAACTGCTGCCTCAGTACTAGTGCTGATTACAGCATCAAGGTTTTTGATAATTGTTAATCCAGGGTACGTCAAACTATTGACGATCTCCAGAGTGAGGTTATTGATGTTGATGGAAGGTGGAGTTGATGCATCCTGGCCCATAATGTTGGTCTTCCTGACGCTGATTGTCAGTCCAAACTCCCTGCAGGCCTGGGAGAAACAGTCTACAAGTTGCGATTATAAGGTGGAACGTCAATATGGCATCACAGCAAAGAGCAACTCTGAGAACAGGACATTACATTTTGGTATTGGTGTGCAGTCCTACCCCATTGAACACTGCCATCAGCTCTGGCATGCAGGTAGACATCCCCATTTGTGTACAATAGCAATATGGAGAAAAATGTGCCTAAGAGAGTTGGCAGCAGGCAGCAGTCTGCTTAACCTTGTCGCTATTCTTGAAAGCATGTAAAGTTGATCCATTGTAAATGAGAAAACTGTGCATGTTCTTGTGAAAAGAATAAATGACACCTGATATTCCAAGTGAGCAGACTATTACTTGAAGTTGTTTAAAGAGATCGAAAGCCTTGGTGAGGTCTATGAAGACAATGTACAGCGATCACTGCTGTTAAAAGCACTTTCCCGTAACTGCCAAAGTGAGGAAATCGTGTCAGCAGTCACTCTGCCAACTCTGAAGCCACGGATATGGATAGATATGTGGTGCCAGAGTTTGGAATGTGCTCTAGGCAATGCAAGAAAAGACCTTCTCCATGATAGCAAGGAGATGCTTTGGCAATTGGTGCAGTTTCTGCAATCCTCTTCATTTTTGTACAAGGTGACTAGGTTTGCTACATGCACATCTTGAGGCATAAATCTTTCCTTCTAGCAGATATGCAAACAATCATGGAAATGTTGTGGTAGTGTCGATTTTCCATTTCTGACGATTTCAGGTGGAATGCCATTGTTTGCTAGGATTTTACCTACAGGTTCACTGGCTTTATTAAGCTCTACTATGGTGGGCTTGCTGCTCAGCTCCCTCTTGACAAGAAAGTCTGTAATGCTGCTGAGAGCTTCTTTAGTGACAGTGTTCATCATGTAAAGATTGAGAGTCCTCCCACTGGCTTTCCATCTGTTTGATAAATTCAATCATGATCACCCAGGCCTTTTTCTTCAATGGAACTGATTTGGGAATGTTGCACTAGTGAAGCGAGTGATGTCCATTTCCCTGCATCAGTTTCAACAAACTCAAAAAGTACACCACTATTCAGGATAACGCTGCTCCCTTGATTGGCGCCCCATCCACCATCTTAAGCATTCATACCCTCTACAACAGTAAATCTTCAATCTACAAGATGCAATATAGTCACTGGCCAGTGTTTTTTCATACAACATCTTCCAAACTGTGGCCTCCACCATCTAGAAGGAAAAGGTAGCAGATGCTTGCGCACGCACCATCTACAAGTTCCCCTCCAAGCCCCACACCATCCTGACATTCAACTATATTACTCCTCCTCAGTGTTGCTGGGTTAAAACCCTGGATCTCCCTTCCTAACAGCACCATGGTTGCCCCTTTAACCCTCGGATAGCAACAGTTCAAGAAGGGAGCTCAGTACCACTTCCTCAAATCGAACTAGGGATGGGCATCAAATATAACCTAGCTTGCTATGCCCAAGTCCTGTGAATGAATAATTTAAAAATGTAATTAGTCCTGAAAGGAATCACTACCCTTCTCCAAAATGCTCGCCTTTCCATTTGGGAGTGGAAGATTAATAGTGAAGTTCACAGCAGATGACGTTGTTTTGATATTCTGACACTGTATCCAGAGCAAGTACTGCAGGGAAACCCCTGCAGGCATGATGTACCTAGGTTGCAATACAAATGAGCTGGTCCTGTAATCTATTGTGGTACTTTAGGCCTTGGCTACAGATGGAGAGAGGATTTGCTTGTGCAGCAGGGTCCCAGGAGTTTTTGTTGCTACACCTAGTTTTTCCTTCATAGTGCCTATTTTAATACCTTGCTTTGCTCCTTTCATTGCTGTGTTGGTTTTAATACTGCCCCTCTATTTAACTTTGCCATAAAGATACTTCACCCAGCTTTATACAAATGTCAGTCAACCTTTGTGTGCAATGAAATTTTATACCGGTATTGATCTTAATGTCTCTGGGATCAGAAAACCTACCCTGTCTGCCAGATTTGTCATCACACAGTCTATTCCCTAATCCTGGAAATGATATTTTGAAGTCTTTCTTTTCACTTTATTGGGATAGCTGTGGGATCTGAGGTATAATCCGTACATGACGGTACTGTTGATAACCAAAACTTTGAGTGGATTCTCCTTCTGCATTTACTAATGAGCCTGTTTCCTCCTGTTGCTACAAAACCTCTAACCACTATTACATTCTCACCAGCTAATCTGCCATCTTAGACAAACTGTTTTTCCACTCTGCAAAGTAAGCACAGCCATATGGGAGGAAATTATGCTTTGGGTGCAGTGATTTAAGCCACAGGATCCCTTGGAGGTAATTGGGCTTTTCAGAATATTCCATTTGGTAGCTTCCACTCCTGAATTTCCATTATAGATTCTTGATGCATCTGGAGAGCAAATTCATAAAATCGCCCCTCAAATGTTTGTCTGGTTTTGTGATCATAGTTTCACTCTTTACAACCCGGCATCTGATAGTTGATTGACTTTCTGGACATGTTTAATTTTTAAAAATGTAGATATGGATTGTTAAACGTAGGCCTACTGCATAACGAAGAATATAACCTAGAAGTTACTTTAACCAGTGATTTTTACCTCAATAGGTATTTCTAGCAGTATGAACTTTGATGAGGAAGAAGATGAAGAAGATGAAGACAGCTCTAGCTCTTCTCAGTTGAACAGTAACACCAGGCCTGGATCAGCTTCCAGTAAAAAATCTAATAAAGTGAGAACTAGGAATAATTTCTTCACATTTGTTCAAAACGTAAAATGGAATAACAAAACAAAACAGACTTGTAGTAAGCTACAGTAAGGTACTAAAGCACACACTGTTAAGGCAACTAGATTGAAGCAACACACTGACAGAGCAAGAATAGACACAACAATTTTTGGTGAGTGAGAATGTAATTAAGCATTCGTGTTTTTTTGATCACAGTAATAGTTTATGGTACAATGGATTCGTCTGTGTCTGTTAAATATAGGGATTTTATTTAAAATGATTTTTAATAGCAGCAGATAACAATGTTTTACCGTTCACAATTAAGTACAGATTGTGAGGCTCATTTGGAGTGGGATTGCTGTGATGGGAGATAGAAATGGTATGTAGTGCAGAAAAGGATGGCACAGTTGTTTCTACGGTTATTTCTAGGAAGCATTTAAAAATCAGTTTAAGAACTAAGTAAGTAAAATAGAGATGCAGAGCCAGGCGATGTGTTGTACCTACATGACTTGGGAGCTGTGGACCTCATTGTGGCTCATAGTGACTGCATCTGCAGCAAGTATTGGTCACTTGAGGAACCCTGGCTCAGAGTTGATGAGCTGGAGTGTGATCTTTGAACACTGCAACACATCAAGAAGGGAGAAAGTTACTTGGACTTGTTTTTTTACCTTTATTCATTCATGGGATGAGGGCGTTGCTGGCTAGGCAGCATTTATTGCCCATCCCTAATTGCCCAGAGGGCAGTTCAGAATCAACCACATTGCTGTGGGTCTGGAGTCACATGTAGGCCAGACCAGGTAAGGATGGCAGTTTCCTTCCCTAAAGGACATTAATGAACAAAATGGGTTTTTCCAACAATCGACAATGGAGTCATGGTCATCATTAGATTCTTAATTCCAGATATTTATTGAATTCAAATTCCACCGTCTGCCATGGCAGGATTCAAACCCAGGTCCCCAGAACGTGATCTGGGTCTCTGGATTAACAGACCAGCAATAATATCACTAGGTCATCGCCTCCCCTAAGGAGGCAGTCACTCTGTTTAGATTAACTACCTGGAATTCAGTCAATGGTCGAGGACAGGAGGGTCTGACTATGAGTGAGGCAGGTAGAAGCAGCCTGGAGGTAATGCTGAAGAACTCTCAGCCCTGAGGTTATCTAACATATTTGAGATTCTTGCTTCCTGTGTGGATGAGAGTGGGGCCTGTAGAGAGGACGGGCAAACTGATCATAGCACTGCGGTAGAGGGAGCCATTTAAAAGGGGGAAGAAAAGAGAAATGAATTTGTAAGTGGGGATAGTTTAGTCAGAAGAATAGACAGTGTTCTCTGTGGCCAAGACTGAGAGTCCTGAGGCTATGTTGCCTGCTTGGTGCTTGGGTTCAGGATATCTCATCTGGGCTGCTGAGGAACATGGAGTGGGAAGGGAAAGATCCAGTTGTTGTGGTCCAGGTAGGTACCAACGATATAGGTAGAAAGAGGATAGAGGTTCTCCTGAAGGAATATGAGCAGCTAGGGGCCAAATTAGAAAAAAAGACCAAAACCCTAATAATCTATGAATTACTGCCCGAGCCAGGAACTAATTGGCACAGGGCCAACAGGATTAAAATGGGAGATGAGTGGCTCAAAGATTGGTGTTGGGAGAAATGGGTTTGAATTCATGGAACATTGGCATCTGTACTGAGGAAGGAGGGAGCTGTTCCGATGGGTCGGACTCCACCTGAATCATACCAGATTCATGGTGAATTACATGACTAAGCCTGTGGATAGGGTTTAAACTAAATAATGGGGGGGGGGGGGGGGGGGGGGGGGGCGGTGGTTCATTTGCATGGAAAATTATGTGAAGATTTAAAGGGGGGAGAGCTCAGCAGAAGTTGTTAAAAGTTTCCAAAACAAGTGAGAAGACAGAGAGTATGGAAAAGGTCAGGAATCTAACTTCAGGCCCTGCAGAAAAGGGGACAACTATGAAAAGGGGGACAGTCAAGGCTGAGATGTTGTACTAAAATGCATGCAGTATACAAAACAAAGTAAATGAGCTTGCAGTGCAGATTGAGATCGGTGGGTACGATGTTCTGGGTATGACAGAGATGTGGCTGCAAGGGGATCAGGGCTGAGAATTAAATATCCAAGGATCCACATCTCATTGAAAGAACAGGTGGAGGTCAGAGGGGGCGGAGTTGCCTTATTAGTGAGAAATGCATTTAAGTCGATAGCAAGAAATGATATAGTGTTGGAATGCTTAGAATCTGTGTGGGTAGAGTTAAGGAACCGCAAAGGAGAAAAGACCCAATGGGAGTGATGGACAGGCCTCCTAGCAGAATGTGGGGAAGAAAATAAATCAGGAGATAGAAAAGGCATGTAAGAAAGGCATTTATTATAATGAGTGATACCTAGTGGCTTTATTGCTGACTAATAATCCAGAAACTCAGCTGATGTTCCGGGGACCCGGGTTTGAATCCCACCACAGCAGATGGTGCAATTTGAATTCAATAAAAAAATCTAGAATTAAGAATCTACTGATCACCATGAAATCATTGTTGATTGTCAGAAACACCCATCTGGTTCACTAATGCCCTTCAGGGAAGGAAATCGGCCATTCTCACCTGGTCTGGCCTACTTGTGACTCCAGACTCATAACAATGTGGTTGACTCTCAATTGCCTTCTGAAATGGCCTAGCAAGCCATTCAGTTGTACCAATCAGTACAAAATCTCAAAGAAATGAAACCGGATGGATCAGTTGACATCGACCTAGGCACCGGAAAAGACAATGGCAGAAACAACCCTGTCAACCCTGCAAAGTCCTCCTCACTAACATCTGAGGGCTAGTGCCAGAATTGGGAGAGCTGTCTCACAGACTAATCAAGCAATCCTCAGACAGCACCTTCCAAACCCTCAACCACATCCATCTAGAAGGACAAGGGCAGCACATATGTCAGAACACCAGTACCTTCAAGTTCCCCTCCAAGCCACTCACCATCCTGACTTGGAAATATATTGCCGTCCTTCAGTGTTGCTGGGTCAAAATCCTGGAATTCCCTCCTGAACGGCATTGTGGGTGAGGTTGTTGACTTGCTGGCCGAGCTGGTTTGTTTTCATTCATTGTGGCATTGTGGGTCAACCCACAGCAGGTAGACTGCAGCGGTTCAAGAAGGCAGCTCACCACCACCTTCTCAAGGGAACTAGGGATGGGCAAGAAATGCTGGTCAGCCGGCAATGCCCCCATCCCATAAAATGAATTTTAAAAAATCATAGGGGAATTCAATATGCAGGTGAAGCGGGAAGGTCAGGTTAGTAGCAGATCCTAAGGAAAGAAATTCGTGGAAAGTTTGAGATTTATTTTCTGGACAAGCTTATGTTAGAACCCACTAGGGAACAGGAAATTCTGGATTTGATGATGTGTAATGAGACGGACTTGATTAGAGAGCTTAAGGAGAAGGAACCCCTAGGGGCACTGGCCAAATAGAAGTCACCCTGTGGTTTAAGAAGCTAGAATCAGATGCAAAGGTAACTACAGTGACATGAGTAAGAGCTGGCCAGAGTCGATTGTAAGGAGAGCCTAGCAGGGAAGACAGTGGAGCAGCAATGATAAAAGTTGCTGGGGGTAATTCAGGAGGCACAACAGAAATTCAACCCAAGGAAGAAGAGATGCACTTAGGGTAGCATGTGGCAGCCGTGGCTGACAGAGAAGGCAGGGCCATCGTATAAGCAAAAGGAAAAGGATACAATGTGGTGAAGATTAGTGGGAAGGCAGAGGATTGGAAAGCCTTTAAAAACCAGAGGATAACTAAAAAAGCAATAAAGGGGAGATGAAATATGAGAATGAGTTAGCTGGTAATGTAAAAGAAGATAGCAAGAGTTTTGTTTCAGGTATCGAAAAGGTAAGAGAGTGCACATTGGACCACTGCAAAGTGAGGCTGGAGAAGTAGTAATGGGTAAGAAAGAAATGGACGAGGAACTGAATAGGTATTTTGCATTAGTCTTCACAATGGAAGACACCAACAGTATACAGAACTTCAAGAAAGTCAGGGGACAGAGGCGAGTATGGTGGTTATCACTTAGGAGGTGCTGGGGAAGCTGAAAGGTCTGAAGGTGGATACATCCAGAGGACTCGAAAATGGCTCAGTAATACCTCTGTTTAAGAAGGGAGGGAAGCACAAGACAGGAAACTATAGATCAGTTAGCCTGACCTCGGTCTTTAATAAGATTTTAGTGTCCATTATTAAGGATGAGTTTGTAGATTAGTTGGAAGTGTGTGGTAAAATAGGGTAGAGTCAGCACAGCTTCAAGGGGAGGCCATGTCTGACAAATCTGTTAAAATTCGTTGAGGAGGTAACAAACAAGTTAGACGTAGGAAAGCCAGTGGACATGATTTATTTGGAATCCCAGAAGGCCTTTGGTAAGGTACTGTGTAGGAGGCTGCTAAATAAGATGAGAGCCTTTGGTATTCGGGGCAAGGTACTCTGCATGGGTAGGGTTTTGACTGACTGGCAGAAGGCAGAGAGTAGGGATAAGGGAGTCTCTTTCAGGATAAAAGCTGGTGACTAATGGAGTTACGCAGGTGTCAGTGTTGGGACCACAACTATTCATGTTATACATTAACGGTCTGAATGAAGGAACTGAGGGCATTTTTGCTAGGTTTGCAGATGGCACAAAGATAGGTGGACGGTAGAACCAAGTAGTCTTGAGGAAGTGGGGAGGCTGCAGAAGGATTTGAACAGGATAGGAGAATGGGAAAAGAAGTGGCAGATGGAACACAATGTGGGAAAGCCTGAGGTTATACATGTTGGTAGGAAGAATCAAGACATAGGCTATTTTCTAAATGGGGAAAAGCTTTGGAAATCTTAAGCACAAAGAAACTTAAAAGCTCTAGTTTAGGATTCTCTTAAAGTTAATGTGCAGGTTCAATTGGCAGTTAGGAAGGTAAATGCAATGTTAACATTCATTTCAAGAGGACTAGAATAAAAGAGCAGAGATGTACTGCTGAGGCTGTGTAAGGTTCTGGTCAAACTATATTTAGAATATTGTGAGCAGTTTTGGGCCTGGTAACTAAGGAAGAATGTGCTGATGTTGGAGGGGGTTCAGAGGAGGTTTACAAGAATGATCCCAGGGATGAAGGGCTTGTCATGTGAGGAGCAGTTGAGGACTCTGCATCTGTCCTTAATGGAGTTTAGAGGATGAGGGGGAATCTGACTGAAAGGGATTCTATGAATGAACCTATGAAACTTATAGAATACTGAGAGGCTTGGATAGGGTGGATGTGGAGAATGTTTATCCACTAGTAGGAGAGACGAGGACCTGATTGCAAAGCCTCAGAGTGAAGATCCTTTAGAACTGAAATGAGGAGGAATTTCTTCAGTCAGAGGGTGCTTAATCAGTGGAACTCATTGCCACAGATCAAAAGGCAGAGATGGATAGCTTTTTTATTGGTAATGGGATCAAGAGTTATGGGGAGAAAGCTGGAAAATGAGTTTGAGAAATGTATCAGCCATGATTGAATGATGGATTAGACTTGATGGGCTGAATGGTCTAATTCAGCTCCTGTATCTTATGGTCTTATGGTCTAAAGTCTTTCCTCCGTTGCTCAGATGTTTGAGATTGTGCTTGTCAGGTTCCATTCTTGCCTGTCTGATTGTATCCAGAGAATCATCTGCAATGACTCCACTTCCTGCTCTTCCTTCCTTAAAGGATCTATTGCTGAGTTTTTCCTATTTATCATCCACATACTTTTCCTCAGGGACATCTTGTGAAACCATAATGCTACGTTCTACCTGTACACTGACAACACCAACATTTTCCTCACCATCACCTCTCTTGGCTCTGCATGGTCACTGATGAGTTAACAGACATCCAGTGTTGGATGAGCAAACATTTTCTCCAACTGGGAAACCAGAAATCCTTGTCATTGGCCATGCTGTAAAATCTGTTACAAACGTAGAGAGTGTTGGACAGACTCAGCAGCAACACCTGCGGAGAGACAAACGCTCAATAAAGTCTGTTCCCTCACAATTGTTGCCATCCTTCTCCATGGCAACTGTCTGTTATTCAATGACATCAAATGTAATCATGTTGTTGTTTTTGATACTAGGATGCACTTCCAATCTGCTCAGCCACCATTTCTACCTTGATAAGATCACCCACCTCAGTCCTTGCTTTAGCTCCTCGCTACTGAAACCTTCATCCATGCTTTTATTGATTCTAAGCTTCACTATACCTTTTGCTCTATGGTCTGGTCTTTAATCTTCAACTCTAAATAAATGAGCCAGTTCCAAACATTGCTTACCATATTGTAATGGATATGAAGTTCTGTTTAACCATTATCCCCTGTGCTCACTTGGCCCACCCAGCAATGCCTCAACCATAATTTCTTTCTTGTTTTCAAATCTCTCAATGGCCTTGACCCATCCTATCTCTGTCACTTCCCAAGTTCTGTAACCCTCCATCATCTCAGCATTCATCCAGTTCAGGCCTCTTGCACACTCACAATTTTATTTGCTCCAACGTTGGTGGCTGTGTCTTCAACTGTTGGATCCCCAAGCTCTAGAACTCCAATCCTGCACTGCTCTTTCTCTTTACCTGTCTTAACTCCTTTAAAACTTCCTGTTTATTTGACAAAGCTTTTTTGTCACCTGTCCAGTTATATTCCTAGATGACATGATTTTTAAAAAGCATTTTATTCATTTATTGGGATATGGCTGTCTCTGCTGGGTAAATATTTATTGCTCGTCCCTAGTTTCCCCTTGAGAAGGTGGTAATGAGCTGTCTTTTTGAACTGCTGCCATTTATTTGGTGTATGTAGACCTACAATGCTATTTGGAAGGGGGTTCCAGGACACCTACCCATCAACACTGAAGGAGAGCGATATATTTCTAAGTCAGGATGGTGAGTAGCATGGAGGGTAAATTGGAAGCAGTGATATTCCCATGTATCTGCTTCTCTTGTCCATCTAGATTGCAGTGGTCATGGGTTTAGAATATCTTGTAAATTGTGCCCACTGCTACTACTGAGCATCAGTGGTGGAGGGAATGATTGGCACAATGTCCACAATCAGGTGACCTGGATGATGTCAAGCTTCTTGACAGTTTTTGGAGTTGCGCTCACACAGGCAAGAGGGGTATATTCCATCACATGCCTGATTTTTGCCTAGTAGATGGTGGACAAGCTTTGAGGAGTCATGAAGTGAGTTCATTGATGTGGATTCATAGCCTCTGACCTGCTCTTGTCACTCTTGTGGCTAGTCCAGTTCAGTTTCTGGTCAGTGGTAACTGCAGAATGTTGATAGTGGGTAACTAAAAAGTAGGCAAAAATTCTCAGTAACTCTCATACTGTCAGCACTTTACTGGTTGTCATTTTTGTTCGGTTAGCTCAATCTCTGACACTTGCAGAATTTAAATCAAGGCGCTATGAAGCCACTTAGGCAGTGTTTGTATATGATCAACATTGACATCCTCATTAATGGGATACATCTCACTTGTCTATGCCTGGAAAACTAATGTGCAGGTGGAAAGATATAATTTAGATAGCACATCCAGTTATTCTCCAATGATACCTGAATTCAATATTTTTTTGCTAGAAGTTTGTTCCATTTATCCACAGATGGAAATTAATCCATAAAAGGAGAAATGAATTTCATCTTCAGAATGCCCTCATGTTCCTAAATGCAAAGATTGCTAAGTAGTAGAGTGAAAGTAATGACTGTGTTTTTCTGATGAAAGTAACTCCTGGAGATATTGCCACTTTTCCCTCTTACAAAGCACAATGTATTCCGATTTTGCAGGAAGCTGCCTCAGTCTCTACTCCTCCGGGAACTGATGCTCTAATAGATGTGGATGACCTTGAGGAGTTTGCTGTGAGACCTGCTCCACAAGGAGCCACCATTAAATGCCGAATCACAAGAGATAAGAAGGGAATGGACCGTGGAATGTATCCTACCTACTACCTCCACCTGGAAAGGGATGATGGGAAAAAGGTTGGTAAAGTACATATGTTTTAACCCATGTTCTGAAAGGTTTATTTGGAATTCAAATTATGGAAAACTAACAGGCTGTTTTATATGGAGTATACTCCATATATACAGATTTTTACATATACCACGCACCACAACCAGAACCACACTTGTCTGCTCACTCTTGCTGTAAAGGGCTAGAACTTAGGCCAACCACATCCAATCTTCCTAAGGAATATTCTACTAAAAGTGTTGCCATTCTTGTTTAGACTGTTGTTCTTGAAGGAGAGTCTCACTTAGCCATCACAGATGGCAGGGGGTATCACAGTCATACCCAGTCCTGACTTCGGCACTAACAATTAATCTTTCTGGGTTGCGATCAGGAACGGAAACTTTGACTGATTTTATTTTAACTGCAGGGAACAATTAGGCCAATCATAATACTGCTGCTGGTGTCTTGAGTAGGATCCGTTAACTAAACAAAAACTGGGGTTTGTAGATGAGCCCTATATGACTCAGCAATTCTCTGGATAAAATTAGTTTAAAAGTAAAGAGGTTATGTTACAGCTGTGTAGGGTGTTGGTGAGACCACACCTGGAGTACTGTGTGCAGTTTTGGTCTCCTTACTTGAGAAAGGATTTACTGGCACTGAAGGGGGTGCAGAGGAGATTCACCAGGTTGATTCTGGAGTTGAGAGGGTTGGCTTCTGAGGACATACTGAATAGACTAGGATTATTTTCGTTGGAATTTAGAAGAATGAGGGGAGAATCTTATGGAAACATATAAAATTATGAAGGGAATAGATAACACAGAAGCAGGGAGGTTGTTTCCACTGGTGGGTGAAACTAGAACAAGAGGGCATAGTCTCAAAATTAGGGGAAGCAGATTTAGGACTGAATTGAGGAGGGACTTCTTCAGCCAAAGGGTTGTGAATCTGTGGCATTCCCTGCCCAGTGAAGTAGTTGAGGCTTCCTCATTGGATGTTTTTAAAGCTAAGATAGATAATTTTTTTTAACAACAAAGGAATTAAGGGTTATGGTGAGAAGGAAGGTAAGTGGAGCTGAGGCCACAAAAAAATCAACCATGATCTAATTGAATGGCACTGACGGGCCAGATGGCCGACTCCTGCTCCTGGTTCTTTTTTTTTTCCTTTATTCATTCATGGGATGATTGCATTGCTGGCAAGGCAGTATTTATTGCTCATCCCTAATTGCCCAGAGGCCATTTAAGAGTCACATTGCTGTGGGTCTGGGGTCACATGTAGGTCAGACCAGGTAAGGATGGCAATCTCCTTCCCTAAAGGGCATTAGTGATCCAGATGGATTTTTCCAACAATTGACAATGGGTTCATAGTCATTGTTAGATTCTTAATTCCAGATATTTATTGAATTCAAATTCCACCATCTGCCATGACAGGATTTGAACCCAGGTTCCTAGAACATTATCTGAGTCTCTGGATTAACAGTCCAGCAATAATACCACTAGGCCACTGCCTCCCTCTTATGTTCTTATTACAAGAGATGGTAATTCTAGGAGGAATTCTGGATATGAACCATTTCTTTCATGCAGACACCTTTTATCCAAAAACATGGCTGTGTAATCATTGAGCTCTTTAATGCTGGCATTTTTCTCCTATTGGGCCTTTTAGTCCCAATTTGGCATCTTGCCTCTGCTCACTTCCAGTGTGACTGATGCCAAAACCCTCTTAGTGAGAGTATTCGGGTGGGCATTCTGAATGTGCACCAGAAATATATAGATTAGATAGAGCATGCTATCAGTCAATATTTAGCACTGATTTAATATCCAGCCTCCCTTTTGGTCCTCTTTCTTCTAGTTTAGTCCCTGTCATAAATGAGCACAGCTAAACATGACTTGAAGGACTCCAGATCAATACTATTTAAATATCTCATCTACAGCTTGCAGTTTAGGTGCTGATTATGTTCAATGGTTATATTGGGATTTTGTGTAAATGCCTGTCTGAAATAATTGATGAGAGTTGTTAAAGTCTGGAGGGAATGATGCTGAAAATAGGGAAAGTATTACTTTTCACTGCACACCATTTGATCTCAGTCATGATCTTTATAGTAGCAGGCCTCTGCATTCAACATGAGCAAGAAATTGTGCAAGGTGCAGATTCTAGACCAGCCGTTTAAGACAGTTACATGACATCTTGACATGTAATATTCTGATGTAAAAGATTCCTGCCTCACCTGCAGTCACTCTGTCTGGGTAATGGAGTCAGTGTGGTCAGTTAGATATGTTTATGGAATGTACAGTAATATCAGCAAGCGCAGAACCCAGACTATGTGTGTGAGACTGTGGTATTGTAGCTTTGTAAATAGTCAGTGTTGTAAATAAATGGCGAGGTATCTGACTCAACAGAACTCAACTATCTGCTGTGAATGTTATGTGGAGTTGCATATGATAAAATTGCAAATGGAATCCGATAGCATGGAAGAAAAACTGCTCGCAGAGGCAGCAGGAGGGAGGGAGAAGGCCTAACAGGAAGCTTTACCAATATTTATTCTTTATTTATTCTTTCATGTGAGCATTGCTGCAAGGCAAACATTTGTTGTCAGTCCTCTTGAACAGATTGACTGCTAGATCACTTCAGAGGACAGTTAAGACTCAAACACATTACTGTTTTCTTCCTATTTGCACATGTGCCATCTGGCTCACAAAAGTCCTCTTAAGGAATGGTCTGCCATCCTTACCTGGTCTGACTTATATCGAGTAGGCAGCACAAACCTGTTGCCTACGTTACTTTGAACTGAAGTGAGTTCGGATCCATATTATGATGTCCAGCCTCCATTTCTTGCAAATCTCATATTTTACCACCACAATAGGTATTTGTTTTATGGTTAAACATTTTGTAAAATAACACAAATAATTTTAGAATAACAACTATTCATTTAGTTTTGTAGAATGTGTTCTTCCTAAATGACTTCATTTCATCAGGACTGACCTGTATTTGACCTTTAATCAATGTTAATTATGGATACTTTTAGTTGATGTGTTGAGTTACTGGTTTAACCGAACTGATGTTTGCTGCTGGTCAAAGTTTTGGAGAAACTTGTTGATTTTTATTCTTCTCAGTTCTTTTAACTTCTGCCCCTGTTCCTTCAACTCTTCAGGTGTTCTTATTAGCAGGAAGAAAGCGAAAGAAGAGCAAAACATCAAATTACCTCATCTCTATAGACCCTACTGACCTATCACGTGGTGGCGAGAGCTTTATTGGCAAACTCAGGTAACCCATGATCACAATTAACTGCCTTGCTGATGAATTTTGTGGGTAAATCTTACAAAAAAAACAGCAAGAAAACTCATTTAAAAGCAAAATACAACATTGCCTAAAATAAGCAACAATGTCCTCACATCCAGGCCTTTATTGAATGCTGCATGCAGTGAGATAATGTAATGCACCTTTTAAGATCCCTTAGATTAGAACCTCTATTGAATGTTGCCCAGCAAGTAAACCTTTTCTTATAAAGAGCAAAGGAAAGAGTTGGTTCAGTGTTGATGACACAAACAGGAAGACTCCTGGCTGCAAGACATGACATTGAAGAAGCTATTACTGATACCCAGGGCATTATCAACTCTAGGACCTGACTTTTGTGCTGCATGTAACTCTCCTGCCGTGACTATCAATATGACTGCACTCCTTTCCAGGTTCAAAAATAGATCAACGCACTTTTCATGCTGCAGGCAGTAAACAGAGAAGCACACTGACACTGGGCATATAAACAGTTTGTGACATGGAATCATTAAAATTGAATTCACTTCTTATTGAATCCATTGAGCATTCAGGGACAATATACGCAGATCTGGACAATCACTGTGCCCCTGACATTTGGTCAAACTGAGAAAACTGGAGGCTATATCAATTCACTTCAATAATGGCAACCAAAAGTTGGCACAGGAGCTTGAAAGCAAGACAGATGCAATAATGTTATAGAAAACTGAAATGTATTTTTGCAAGCATGGTTTTCTAACAGTGTCTGATTTTTTTTTATATGAATTTAAGTTCATTTAAAGTACTATTGCAATAAATGATATGACTAGCAATGATAAACATTGAACCCTTTAAAATATGTACAGGGCTGTTTCTGTTCTTATATCATTTTCTGCAATAGTTTGCAATTTGTTTCTTCTCTCAGATCACTTATTTCTATCTTTAACCGAGATCCCCCGGTCTTCTGGTATCAGGGAAGTCATGAGGAAATTGGAAAACCCCATCACTGGTTCCCTGAAACTAGCCCTGCCTTGGGACCAGTTTCTGTGGGAATCAGCAGCTGCTGCACAGGGACTAGCAATTAATCCATTTGATTTATTGTAGTCACATGTACCTAAATACTGTGAATAGCTTTGAGAGCTGTACAGGCAGGTCATAGGAAACAAGGACATACAGATCATAGGGTGCTTAGACAGAGCAAGGCATACAAGGTTATGGCTGCAGAGGAGGTGCTCAAAGTAAGATCAACATTATTTGAAGTTAGAGAGGTTCATTCATCAGTCTAATAACATCAGGGAAGAAGCTGTTCTTGAACCTGTTGGTGCATGTGTTCAAGCCTCTGTATACACTGCCTGATGGTAGAGGCTGTAAGAGAGCAACACCGGGATGGGAGGGGTCTTTGATGATGTTGGCAGCCTTTCTGCAGCAATGAGAGGTGTAAATAGAGTCCATCGATGGAAGGTTGGCTTCTGTGATGGTCTGGGCTGTGCACACAATCTTCTGTAGTTTCTCAACGGTCCTGGGCAGAGCAGTTGCCTACCAGGCTGCTATGCACCCAGATAGAATGCTTTCTATGGTGCATCTGTAAAGGTTGATGAGGGTCCTGATGGACTTGCTGAATTTCCTAAGCTGCCTGTGGAAGAAGAGGCGTTGTTTTGCCTTCTTGACCGTCGCATCTACGTGGGAGATCCAGGACAGGTTGTCGGTTATTGTCACTCCTAGGAACTTAACACACTCGACCCTGTCCACCTCAGCTCCGTTGATGTAGATGGGGGTCCTCCTCCTTTCTTCCTGAAGTCAATGATCAGTTCTTTTGTTTAACCAACATTGAGAGAGAGATTGTTATCATTACACCACAACACAAGCCCTCTATCTCATCCCTGTATTCTGATTCATCATTGTTTAATATCTGTCCTACCATGGTGGTTCGTACGAAATTTGGCTACACATTCATGGGTGTACAGGGAGTACAGTAAGGGGCTGAGAATGCATCCTTGCAGGGCACCAGTGTTGAGGATTTTCATGGAGGAGGTGCTGTTGTCTATCTTTGATTGTGATTTTTGGATCAGGAAGCTGAGGATCCAGTTACAGAGGACAGAGCCAAGACCTAGGTCTCAGAGTTTTGAGATTAGCATTGAACCAAAGCTCCAGTAGAGGACTATTATCTGACGTTGAAAAGTTCCCTGTATCAGATGGACCTCCCAGTGAGGCCAGGGGCCCAGCAGCTATGTGGAAGTGGCCTTGCAGCAGCAGGCCAGAGGGCCATCAGAGTCTTTTCTCAAACCCCAGTCGCAGAACCACAAGACTGATACTTAGGTCACAATCAGTTCTTTGAAGTGTAGCAGGATAACCAGGCTATCTTTTAAATATTCCACAGACATCCAGGAGGGCTTCTGTCTGAGTAGCCCTCACAAGAACATGAGGAATAGAAGCCGAAAGAGTCCATACAGCTTCTCAGGCCTGCTTTGTCATTCAGTTATATCCTGGGTGATCTGATCAACTCCTATTTCCTGCCTCTTCCTTTCCAATGACTACCTCTCTCAAAAGTGTCCTCCATTCCTGGTAAGAATGCGAGCCAGCCATTGCTGAAGTCTCTCATTGTGCCTGTTTAGTCAGTGAGTCACTCTCCATCCTTACTAGCAGGCTGAATGTGAAGATGAGATAGCAGGAACTGCAGATGCTGGAAAATCCGAGACAACAAGGTGCAGAGCTGGATGAACATAGCAGGCCAAGCAGCATCATAGGAAGAGGAGGGCTGACATTTTGGGCCTAGACCCTTCATCAGAAACCCTTTCTGATGGAGGGTCTAGGCCCGAAACGTCAGCCTTCCTGCTCCTATGATGCTGCTTGGCCTGCTGTGTTCATCCAGCTCTGCGCCTTGTTGTGTCTGAATGTGAAGATGGCCTGTTCATTGGCTGCCTCCAATGAGATTATGGTACTATGCAGATCTCAGACAGCAGTGGGGCCAGGACCCAAAAATGATTTTTAGTATTGTTCCTGGCCCTCAATTATCTTTAATGTCCAGGAGATTCTGTCTTTATTGCCACTTAGTTCTATTCATGATTATCTGTATTCAGCCTGTGTTCTTACTCACAGACTCATTGATCTGTGGCCTCAGTCAAATGTGATTCTATACACTGATGGCAGCTCTCACAAAATGTGTGTTTAAAATACATTCCCCAAGGGAATTGAACAGATGTGCTTTCTTTTAGTAAAGCCTGTTTGTTGTTCAACAAAATACTTTAGCATAGGAGCCTTGATCGAATCATCTACTATAGCAGGAAGTGAAACGATGTTCCATTTATCATATCTTGACCTAAACTCAAAGCATGAAATTTGGTATATAAAAGAAGTAAAGAATAAGTACCACTAATTCATAATTGCTACTTTAGTATCCATTAAAATATTTTATAGAGATTTAATGAAAGAGATGCAGGGAAAGGAATTTAATAGCTCTTTGCTGCAGGATGTTGATAAAGGTGGACAAAGAGATGTCCTCGGCCCATACCTTATACTTAGTTGAGATCTCCAATGCAAAATTGCACTCACAATATGGCCTACATGTAGCCTAGCCAGTAGACCTTGACAGGACCTTGGGTGGCTATCACCAAAATTTTATTTTTTTGTAAAGTTTATTTTTCTGAATGTGAAACCAAGAGGTGCAAAGTGCTGCTCCTATCTGTATCATAGCACAATGATTGATCCCTTCTCAGCTAGTCCTTTTCTAACAATCAACCTCCTCCCACTCTCACAATCATTGTTCCAATAATGCCCCAAGTCACACTCTTTCCTTATCAGATGACCATTTCGATTGGATAGAAGGTCAGTTATGTGTGGCAAGTGTGCATATCTTTTGTGTCTTATCATGCTAATATCCGTTTGCATGTCATAGGGTCATAGATGTTATGGTGTTCATCTATTTGTCCATTGTGAGAAGGATCTCAAATTCAGTCTGGCTCTCCTGGTTGGAGGTCTTGCAGGTTGCATTCTTTGTGTCATCTTTCATAGTTCATCATCTGGCCGGAACAATATTTGTTTTCTTCCTCTCACTTTTCCAAGTCATTGCCATGTACACGTGATGTGAGTATTTGTGGAAGGCTAAAGAGTCAAGTCCTCAGTCTTATTTTCATGAGAAGTTCATATGGTGCTGGACTATTTTGGCAGCTCAAAAATGCAAGTTTGATGTCTTTGGGCTTGTCTGGCAAAGCTTCCATTTTATACACTCCTCTTTCGTCATTGGCTTGAGGATATCTTAGTAAGCTGTATGATGTTGTGAAGCTTTTAAAAGTATTCATTGGTGAACTATGATCTGCTGGGATTGAGGCTAAATGACCTGAGATTCCATGTGTTGCTAATATCTCCTTCAGTGATGTCATTAATGTTTCAGAAATGTGATCCTGCAGTTTCTTGTCTTCTATCCATCTGAGCCAGGTGTCTACTATGAGCAAGAACATCTTTCTTGTGTGTTGTATCCATTCCAAGACATTCCACTGGTTATGGTGGAAATGAAAATGAGATCAACAGTTTTCTTTTCTTTTAATGGTGATTAGCACAAGTAAGGAAGCAGGATGTCATTTTTTCCAATGATCTTGAGAATGTTGGCCACCAAATAGAATATCTTGCTCTGGATCAACATTTTGTGATGCCCAAATATCCCTGGTGCATTCAGTGCAGTTTATTGAGTCTCTAAACTTCCAGAAAGCCAACATGGGCAAGGGAACATCCTGCTGATTACCACTTATTAATCCCCTTGGCTGCTGAAGCAGTATGGCTCCATGTCTTGTGTCTGCTGGGACAGATCAGACAGTAGGCTACATGTTAACATGAATTTGTATAAGAGGGAGCAAGATCATGTGATATTGTGTCAATTGTGTTTTCAAATAAACCTGTTGGGCTATAATCTGGCAATGTGTGACCTTGTCCAACCCAATCCAACACCGTCACCTCCACACCATCACTGTGATGATGTACACGGTTTCAGCTTAGCATAATGTTCAGTTTGATTTAACCATCATACTATGACTTTCAAATCGGGTGTCAAACTGAAGTTTTAACTTCCTAGCCAGGCAGATGTGAAAAGATTCGTCAGACAATAGGAAGGACTACCCTTTAACCAATATCACCGAGGTTATCTCATCATTCATTCCTTTGTTGGACGTGGATCATTGCTGTGTAGCCTCAACCTGGGTCAACCAATTTCACAAGTTATTTCTTGCTTGTAACATGCTTTGGAAATTTAATGAGGATGTGATAATGCATTATATGAATGTAATTTCTTGCTTTGTTTTACTTTGACAGTGAATTATTTTCATAGATAGATATTTGGTCATTGTTTTGGGATATTTGACTATCTTATACAACCACAAACTAATACGTCAAACAAAAAAAAAACACCAAGATTCCAAGGCAATTGTAAACTTGAGGGACAGTGGAGGAATTGTGCAAATTTCAGAAACTGCAGATCCAGTCAGCAATTGAGATTCTGGCACAATTGTTAGATTCTTTGCCAATGGAATTTTAGAGTTATCATTTTGTCTATGTAAACACACAAATGCCAGGAGGTATTTATGACCATGAGGGTTACTATTTGCTTGATTTTTGGTTGTCCAGAAGTTCTTAAATGCAAACTGGGCAACTAGGAATTGTTTTCTTTATCAACTACGTGTGAAATATGGGCTAATAGGGATCAGAAAATTGGGTGGTTCATTGTTCCCCAATCTCTGGTGCCCCACAAAGTTTCTGCCCAGTTTGGCTATCTCTCTCTGTTCATCACTCTTATTGTTTTAGAACAAGGATGAACCAAGTAGTTATTGAATTGCTAAGAAAATGTCTTATTTCTTGAAATTAAGGCAGGTGTCCTCTTAATATGAAGGCCAAGTATTTCATTCAACTTGTTTAAGATCTTATTTAAAAAACAAAGTGAACCACTTTACATGCTTTTCTTCAAACAAAAACATAATTTACAGATATTTTTAGATTTTTAGTCATGCCATGTTTGGAAATTGCCAGAAATTGAAATTGGTGCTGGGGTAGGCAGGGGGTTGGGGGTTTTACTGCTAAGAGAGTGACGGGATACAGTCTGGAGGCAAGTTTGATCCACTCCTACAATCTGAATGTATTGTTAGAAATGAGACAGGCAGCCAATAAATTCAATCAATTGGCCAATTAGTGGTCACTTACTGACATTGCTGATATTTTACCTTAGTTGTGTTGAGGCCCAAACTGGAGGGGGAGACCACTTGGCAAACCCCATGGTGACCTTCCAGTGAGTTCCTGGAGAAAAGGGCCTTTCTTTTAGGCCACGCCATTGCTGATGGAAGGATCTCCAGTGGCAGTAGCAGTCTCTGAAGTTCTGATGCTGCTGGAGCGTTCACTCCACTGTGCCTCCCTGCCTGAGCTTGGTTCATTGGAAAATAGAAAGCTTCACCCTTCACAGGTGCCTCAACATAAAGGTGCCCATACTTTTCTTCTGCAGTCTTGGCAATGGAAATGTCCACCTCTATCCATGGAGCTGCTGAGGTCTCTGACGTGCTGGAGCAATGATTGTGCTGGCTGTTCCGAGAGGTGGGCAATATCCTCAATTGGATGGTGGCCCTGATAGCAGCAGCCCCTTAGTAAGTCACCTTGGGGTCCCATTGTCAACCCACCATTGATATCATGATCAAATTCACCCCACCATTTCATCAATCCATGCCACTTTGGTTGAGCTCAGAAAATTGTTGGGTGGATAACCCACTGTTAATGTGAATAAGTTCTATTCAGCATTCCGCCACTGGAAAACATACATGGGAATTATGTCACTGGCTGTAAGGACAAGTACTGAGTGCATTTGAGGATAACACAAATGAGGCTGAGATAAATCTATTAAGAAACTCACTATTCATTTGCATTGCAGATCAAATCTAATGGGCACCAAGTTTACAGTCTATGATAATGGAGTGAATCCGGAAAAAGGAAGTTCAAGCCTAGATGCAAGTAACTTACGCCAAGAACTGGCAGCTGTTTGCTATGTGAGTATTTCATTACAACAGCATGCTTGTAATTACTCCACATTTGTGATCAGTAACTCTCTCTAGTATCTGCCTGAAGACAGTACATCTCTGGCAGAACCATGATCGTATCCAAACAGGAATGTAAGAGCACACCACAGAATATAATAATTCGTAGGTACCTTGGGAGCAAAGGAATGTCGGCCATTCAACCCATCAATCCAGCTCTGCCATTCAATAAGATCATGGATGATCATCCACTTCAATACCACACTACCCCCATCTTCCTTTACATCACTGGTATTTAGAAGCCTGCTAATCTAAACTTTAAAGAGACACAATAAGTGAATCTGAACAGTTCTCTGGCATCCAGAATTCCAAAAATTGAAAACCTTCCGAGAATAGAAAATTCTCCCCACCTCAGTCCTAATTGACTTGACCCTCGTTTTGAAAGTGTGTCCCCAGTTCTATTATTCTGTTACAGTGCTGTTTTTCAATTCACCCATCTCCTTGTTGTTTCAAGCACTTAAGCATGGGCAACCTTAAAGCTAACGAAATGGTCTATGTACAAAGAATTTTCTTCTTTCTGATGGAAAATTGTCTGGGATTTTACAGGATACCAATGGCCCTTCCCGTTTGCCGGGAAGTCGGGGGTGGGGGTGGGGTGGTGGAAGGGTGATGGATGGTGGGGGAGCTACTGCACCTCTGTGGATTGTGAAAGCTACAGCTAGGTTTTATGATCTTTAGGTGGTTCATGCCTGCTCTTGGGTTTCTGCCCTTTTAAGGGAGGATGTATCACCCCATTGAGCTGCTGGAAGCTTTCCAGTCTCAGCAGTGCCACTAGGAGAGGTGGCCATTGCTAGGACTGCAGCTGGCCCAGAGTAATAAAGGTGGAAAAGGCCCCATCTACAGGGTACCTCATCAGGAGGGTTCCATTTCCTTGAGCCTGCAAGGTGTCTGCTCAGGTATACCTAGAATTCACCCATATGACAATGTACCCAATCTTCACTGGTAAAATGTGAGTGAGGGTGGGGAGATGCCTAAAAGTGACCCTTTATCTACCAATTAAGGACCTCAACTGACTTGAGAGTGGGAAAGATATCCACTATCTTCTTGGAACTAGTAAAATGCCAGCAGCAGCAGCAGGAAGTGGGATTATTGTAGATTTAGATTAGCTTTTACTGTTACAAACTCGATGAGCCGAAGGGTCCCTTTTATACTGTGTGATTCTATGATTCCATGAGCTCACCATTCCATGATTTGGTGCTCTCGCTACTTCCCAACATTCTCCTTGAAGCTGTGCGATATCTTGGCCATTGTTTTATCTCTGTGGACAGTGAATGTGAATTGGACAACATGTTCCATTTTGAATCAAGTTAAATTTAACACTTCCTTGCCTTTGCTTAATGTTAGTTTGAAGCAATAAGGGTGAGGTTAAACAGACATTGCTCCAATTTTTAGAACTTGGGAAATAATGTGGGAAATGATCTTGGGAAATCAGCCCACTACTGATTTTGGTATATCCATAACATGTCTATATGAGAGTGAGAGAAATGATGGGACTTGGTTATAGGGAACTTGATCAAGAAATTGCTCTTGACACAAAAGTGGTGGATTTGAAAAGCTGTTAGATTGAAAAATCTTGAGGAGGGTATAGATGGGGTGATGGAATGGGAGACAGGTGAAAATTATAATTTAATGTGGAGACGTATGAAGAAAAATACGTAGATATTTATATTTAGTGGAATTGCTTGAAAGCTGTGAAAAATTGATCTTGTGATTAAGATACACAATTTCTGACAAAATGAATACAGCTATATAAAGTTGTTATAAAGGTTGACTGCCCTTTATAAATTCTACATACAAATATAGAGTGCAAGAGTAAGGTAATAATTGTCAATTTAGATGAAGCATTGATCAGTGAGCGTACTATGTGCTGTTCTATATGTGGTACCGTAAAGGGGACATTCAAGTTACAGATGGAATATGGAATAGGTGATGCCTGGACTGCGATACTTCAGTTAAAAGAAGGAACTTGAGAAACTGGGACTCTTTACATTGAAGCTTCTAGTCTAAAAGGAGAAAATGGCAAGTTATTTTAAATGATTGAAGGTTCAAATAATGAATATGAAAGGATGACTGAAGGATCATCAATTTAAAATAGCTGCTGAGAAAGTGAGGGGAGTGCTAGATTAGGAGAAATTTATTTAACCAGGAAATAATTTAGATTGCAAAAGGCATTGCCAGAGGTTAATCCGTCATGACTTCTAATAGAAAATTGGTTAAATATTTCAAGCAGCAGAAGGTGGAGAGATATTGAGACACAGAAGGGCAACAGGACTAATTCTGAACTGTTACAGCAAAGAACCAACACTAACACAAAGGCAAATTGGCTTACTTCTGTACTGCAAAACTTTTTTTTAACAACAGAAAACCGAAGCAAGGACAGACATCTGATAAATTTGACCCTGATAATAAAAGGCTAGGACAGATTGTACAGAAGGGCTAGTAGACAAATCACGGTAGCTTTTTGTTCAGTATTCAGGAAGTTAATTATTCCAAACATTGTGAAATTGTGATGAGAAAACAGGCAATTCCTTAACAATCACCACCAGCCATAATGTAGCCATTTTTAAATGTAAATTTTTAGTTATGTTTTTTTACAAAAGAGAACAATGATACGCGTTCTTTCAAATTGAGAGTATCACCTGCAAATTGATGTGACCTCCACAGAAGAGCATGTGGATTGTGCACAAATTTATAATGACTGAACTCACTTCAGATGCAGAATATACTCAGAACAGGGTACAATTAAACAAAGGCTCATTGAGTCTAATCACATTTCTAATGGTATTATTACTTTGGTTCCAATGAGTGGCAGAGAAAGCATCAACTCAAGTAAGGTCCTTTGTTGGATATCTGAAGAATGGACCACCTCTCTCCAACTATAAAATGCAAAGAGAGAGTTTGGGTGATGGCACTGAAAAAGAGATTGGAATGGAACTGGTGCAACCACTAGAAAAACTAGAAGATAGCCTAAAACAGTTAGATTTGGGGGAGTTGATTGGTGATGATGGAGGGGGAGGGTGACTGACAAAAACCTGAATGAACTGTTCATGGATATATAAACAAACATCCAGCTTTCTATTAATTTACATCCATGTGTACTGGGATATCTATATGTTATATATGGATATCATATGTCTAGATTGTTGTCTTTCACAAACTTTCATGTTATTTTTCTCATTCTGTTTATGTGCCAGTTTTATAAGTTTGTAGATCTGCATGACTATTCCAAAACTGTGAACTAGCAAATAATAGTCGAGGTCATTTTACGTGATGATTATTGATTGTGTAAATTCTACATAAAATCATCTAGCAAATCTTCTGCTGTCCAGATCGTTGGGAACTTGCAGAAGTCCTGACAAAGTTGACCTATTGGAATTTCCTAGGATATTTCATCTTCTAATAGAAAATGTGCCTGCTTCCCAGGATCCTCCATGAAAGTCTTTGTCTCTGAACAAGTGTCAGAGACTTAGTTTAAATTTATTGCCTGGAAAGTTAACCCAGGAAATATTAGGCTAAATCTACGTCTAATTCCTAGGCAATTCCGGAACTGTCACTACAGACACTCACACTGACTCCACAACTTAACCCCTGCCCCCAATTTCACAAATATAAGCCACAACTCCCCAATTATTCTCCAACCACCCAACTATCCCTGTAATTCAACCTGATTCAATTTGAAACATCTGTATTTATAAATCCAGCCCATTGATGACTATTGTCAATTGTCTTAAGAAGAAAGAAAGGAAATATGGACTTTATGTGACTCCAGACCTATAATAATGTGGTTGGCTCTTAACCACCCTCTGAAATGGCCTAACCTAGCAAGCCCCCCAGTTGTATCAAAAATCACTGCAGAAAGTCTAAGCAAAGTAATGATCACCTAACATTTAAACAAAAAACTCTGTTGACTCTGCAAAATTGGGAGAGCTGTCTCGAAGACTGGTTAGGCAAGAGCCTCACACGGTCATGACCATTTAATCAAAGCTTACAGACAACGTTCCTGACTTGGTGGTTTAACAGCCATTTCAAATCTTGAGTTCAGCAACTACAAACTTTATTTTACAATCAAATGCTGGGAGACATTCTTGGCAAAAGTGCACCAAAGTCTCTCTTCAAAACTCAGTCTGCTTAATAATTTATATCCTAATTCTTACATTGCATTACAATATTTTTACAGTTCACTTGCCATTGAATATCTTAGCACATATATCATTTACCTGTATCAATAAAAAGGGCTTTATATGTGCTCTGCAGATATTCTTTTATGTTCAAATTATGTTTCCTATTTGGCCCTTTTCACTCTGAGACTCTTGATTCAAACTATTGTTTGGTTTTACAACTTACATACATTCTTAGCTTGATTCCCACAGCTTCATATCTTATCATGTCTATAGTATTGGCCACATTTTTCCTTCATGTTCAGAGAAGGTGCTCATAGCTACGTTTGTCTACTATAAGATGTTAGTGTGCATCTTAATATCATTTTTAATCAATTGTCTCACTTCATCCCAAGCACCACCATCACCAGTCTTTGGAATGACCTGTCCCTTTGTTTGGCATGGAGCTTGATGGTAGGATATCCTCCATGATATTGTGTGGTACTAATAGCACAGTAAATGGGACAGACTTTGAACAGATCTTGCAACTCGAACCTGGACTCCATGAAGTTGTGTGACCATCAGCAGTAGCGGAATTGTTTCCAGTCACAATTTGCAACTTCTGCTGAGCAGATCCCCACATCTACCAATACCATGAAGCTGGGAGATCAAACCTGATTCACTGAATAGTGCAAGAGGGAATGCCAGCAGCAGTCAGGCATACCCAAAAGTGAGAGGTCAACCTGGTGTAACCACAACACAGGAATACATACATGCCAAGTAGCAAAACCAGCAATTAAGGATCTGTTCTGGGTCCTCTTCTATTTGTGATTTTTGTAAATGATTTGGATGAAG